AAAAAAAACGTGGAATTGCATTTTCCCACCAAAATGCTTTCCCTCAAATCAAGGAAAAATGGCGCGTGGGGGTGGGAAAATATTTTATCTAGAAAATATTGCCTATCAAACAAGTTAAAAGCAAGAAAATAATTTTTTTTTCCAACTTCCATGGAAAAAATGATTTATCAAACGGGGCCTAAAAGAAATAATTTTTGAATTAAAAATGGCAAATCAATGATTTACATCATTATCCCAACACTTTATGAGTTTTGCCTAATATGCTAAACATGTAAATACAACAAAAATTTTGATTATTCGTTACCCAAAAAGTATAATTGCAAAGAGATGAAAGAGAATCAATTTCGCCTGTTTTGAAATTCTTCAATCGAGTTGTCAATTAATTCCAAATTCTCTCTTGCTTTCGATCTTCAATTTTGAGCTTTAAAATTTTGAACTTTGATGTTTTATTCATTGAAACTCTTCCTAACATTCTTCTCCACACTATGATATGAAGAACATTGAATTGTGTATCCCCAAATTTGGTTAAAATCTTGGTAAATTGCTTCCACCTTCCAGAAGATGGTCAAAATTGAAAAGGAGAAAATATTATGTTGAATTTGTACCATGTGATCGCATGGTATAGGGAGTTGCAATCACATGGTGTAACCAAGATACGTTATGCTTCTATTTAAAACCCTCCGATTGCAAAGAGGATCCCAAGGTATAATCTCTTTCNNAGGATCCCAAGGTATAATCTCTTTCCATTTTTTGGATTTTGTTCCTCATTTTCAATTTTCCATTCAGCTAAAGTCTTTCCTAGTTGCAATTAAAGTCATTCATCTTTTAAATTGTATCTTCTTGGTCTTCATCTATGAATTATGTACAATACGCGTTCTTTTTGCAAGGTTTGCATTTTTCTCTAAAAGTCCGTCCAACATCGAATTTTACTTAAACAAAAAATATTTACATAATATTAAGCAATAATTATCTAAAGTACTCCCAACTATCCTATTTAAACGATCTAAATAAGTGTGTAACTTATCGGTTTTGTCCAAGTCCCCATCTCTTGTAACTTTTTTATTTATTAATAATTTTATTTTACCTTTGTGGTGGTTTCAAGAAACCCTTTCAATGAATTATGTTTTTTTTATTAATTCTTTCTCCTATACTTTTCCTCTTTAATTAAAAGTAGCGTGATGTTTTTTTTTTTTAATTTTTTTATTTATAGAATTAATTGAGTTTTTAATAATAGTCCATTTGGGACTCGTATGCTACAAAACGAAAATGTAGGGATTGAAATCGTCAAAAAGTTGGAGGACCTAGATACTGTATTTCCAATAGATTCAGGACCTAAAGCATAACTCCCCTTGTTTTAGTCATTGAATATATAAAGTCCTGTTAAAAAATGGGTGATGCTACATGTACACCTCATGCATTACACAATCCTTTACACCTCTCACATGGAGGGGGGGCCCACAATTATTTTATTATGTGTGGACCCCCCTTCATGTGAGAGGAGTGTAAATGATTGTGTAAAGAATTATGTAGGAGTGGGCGTGGGTCGGTTCGGTTCGGNAGGATCCCAAGGTATAATCTCTTTCAATTTTTTGGATTTTGTTCCTCATTTTCAATTTTCCATTCAGCTAAAGTCTTTCCTAGTTGCAATTAAAGTCATTCATCTTTTAAATTGTATCATCTTGGTCTTCATCTATGAATTATGTACAATACGCGTTCTTTTTGCAAGGTTTTCATTTTTTTTTCTCTAAAAGTCCATCCAACATCGAATTTTACTTAAACAAAAAATATTTACATAATATTAAGCAATAATTATCTAAAGTACTCCCAACTATCCATTTTAAACGATCTAAATAAGTGTGTAACTTATCGGTTTTGTCCAAGTCCCCATCTCTTGTAACTTTTTTATTTATTAATAATTTTATTTTACCTTTGTGGTGGTTTTAAGAAACCCTTTCAATGAATTATGTTTTTTTTTTTTTATTCTTTCTCCTATACTTTTCCTCTTTAATTAAAAGTAGCGTGATGTTTTTTTTTTAATTTTTTTATTTATAGAATTATTTGAGTTTTTAATAATAGTCCATTTCGGACTCGTATGCTACAAAACGAAAATGTAGGGATTGAAATCGTCAAAAAGTTGGAGGACCTAGATACTGTATTTCCAATAGATTCAGGACCTAAAGCATAACTCCCCTTATTTTAGTCATTGAATATATAAAGCCCTGTTAAAAAATGGGTGATGCTACATGTACACCTCATGCATTACACAATCCTTTACACCCCCTCACATGGAGGGGGAGCCCACAATTATTTTATTATGTGTGGACCCCCCTCCATGTGAGAGGAGTGTAAAGGATTGTGTAAAGAATTATGTACATATAGCTTTATTCTTAAAAAATTTACAATATATTTTTTTCTCATCTCTTCTCGATTACATGTTTTTTAATAAAATAATATTATATATAAATAATTTTTTTTTCAATCTTTTCGAATCACATTTTTTTTTTTTTAAATAGTATTCAAAAAATTATAACATTGGGCCAAACGGGGGCTAATATTATAATAAATACTGTATCCTGGCAGTATCCTTCTTGTTATCAAAATTCCAATAATATTTTTTTTGTTGTGGGAAGAAACTGGAAATGGAGAGGAGAAATGAAGAGATAGAGGTTATTCACTCATGGTCGGCACCCAGGTCCCTCAGCACCAGTCTCATGTACTCTTTTGCTCAGGTAATCCCCATTCACTCTGGATCTTGCAACCAATTTCTCATTTTATTCTGAATTGGGTTTTGTGCAAGTTGAATTTGAAGTTCATGTAATTATATTGCTGCTCGAATTTGTTCTAATTCTGTCAAATTTGCTTATTTCTTGAATAATTTTCTTCTTCTGCTGTCTGTCATAGTTTCACTTTTTTTTTTTTAATTTCTTTTTACTGTTGACAATTGTGAAATTTAAAATACTATTGCTTAAGTTTTGAAAATTTTGTCTTATCAAACTTTTTCTTTGTTACATTTATGTTTCCTTTGGAAATCAACTTTGAAGAGGACAATATAAGATAACACAGTGAACATTTAGTGATCTTTGGTAAATGGTCATCATTATTGTCAATCTTACCAAATTTGATGTGAAGTGAATTATTTCCTGAAGCGTTGGAATGCATTCATGTTATTATTATTGACCTTTGTAATGAAATTATGGGGCAGCTTTGTTTTCCAGTGGGTTTAGAGCGAGAGCTGTTGTTAGAATTGTGATATTTTGAGGCTGATCACGTCAGAGGCATATTATGGTTTTCTACCATTTTGTTTTGGGACTAAAACAAATTAAAATAAGAGTTGGATTACTTTTTTTACCCAATTGAACGACATCTTGTGCATCTAAAGCAAGTGAAACTATAAATCAAAATTCAACGGCATCATTTATCAAATAATCCAGAAAGTGAGATGTAATGAATGCTCAAAAGTTCACGGTGGCATCAGTTGATCTTCATCTGTGTTTGCAATGAACTAAGACCTGCCATTTATCATCAAGGCCTTACTTTTGTTGATATAACTAATAAGAGGTGGGTGTAGCTTGAGCTTGCACTATGTTGCCAATTAGTCTACCGTTCTTAGCTCTTCCGTCTGAGAAGTCGATATTCTTATCTTATATATCTTTTTAAAGCAAATCATATTTGTTCCCATTCTCGATTGAGTCTAATTATTATACTGGTGATTAGTCTACTAATGCCAAAATCAGCATCAGTAACAGGTCTGCCTAATTGACAGCATTATGAACACATTTTATGTTGCCGTTGCTTTATAGTGCTCCATGTTTCTTGGTAATGCAAAACTTCCCTTCATGCTTTTCCCAGAGAGATGACATGGAAGTGCTTGACGAACCCCTTTATGCAAATTTTCTTCGGGTAACTGGGGTGGAGAGGCCCTATCGAGAAGAACTTTTGTCAAAGATGGTATGTAAGATTACATTGCTGCAAATTAGTTAAATCTCTCTAGTCATTGGAGCTTATTTGCATTTTAACTATTCCCACTCAAGTACAGTTTTTAAACAGTAGTTGTGTATCCTAAGTGCATGTTTGATTTGCCAGGACTTGACATTATAATGAAAATAAATTTAGCTTCTCTTTCCTTGTTAATGCTACCCATGAGGGTTTAATCCTCTCTACTAGTGTCTTATGTTGTAACAGATACTCTATGAAGTATTGGTGCAAAACCTATGTTGTTTATTTTGAACTACAAGGTATATTTCATTGTTTCCTATGATGTTACTTTCCGTTATTGGAATAATTTAATATTGACCAGATACAACTATGCCTCATCCTAAATAGTTTGTGAAATGAGAAGATCTAAGTTATATATTGAAGGATGAAGTTCCATAGTTTCTGGTGTTTTTCTTTATATTATTTTTCTGGAGTGGGGTCAAACCAAGTTTTACAATTTATGACATTCTTTGTTAAGCCAAAGGGAAGACAAAGTAGTGGAGATCTTGCATTTGCATTTGAACATTTAGATATAAGTGCTTGTTATTTTAATACTTATATTTTTGGATAAGATCCGTTCATTAATATATTGGATATATACCGTGAAAAATGCTTCATGTTAAGTGTCTAAAATCCACAGGACTCTGATGGAAATAAGGTGGTGAAAGAGATTATTTTTGGCCCTGGCCAGAAAAAATATCGGTACTGCAAGGTAAACTGTTTTTAGTCTATTTGTTCTATATGAGCTTTGGTGTTCGATAAGCATCAATGTGTAGACGATTGTTCAAGTTAAAAGAGGTTTCTCCATTTGATACTACGATGCTATTACTTCTACTGTGCTTATTCATTTTTTGTTTTCATTTATATCTGCAGCACATTGCTAAACAACGTGTACCTGGATTGACAGATGAGTTAATGAAAAAAGGAAAGCACTTCATACTAATACGAAATCCCCTTAATATTCTGGTAAATATCATATTATATTTAATTATTTATGTAATATGTAAAATTTAGGCTCCGATATATCCATTTTTTCAGTTTATGTGCATTCGTATTAAATGCAACCTTTTTGTTTTCACGCTATAATGCCAAATTTTTAATTGGCTTCCTTTTCAAGCTAAAAGTCTAGGCCTAGTTTAATCCTTGACCAGTTAACGAACTTGTCCAAAGAAATGAGTTCATTTAGTAAATGTCATGAGATGCTTAAGGATTTGCTATAATCTTTGTTTCATGTACAACCACTTGTACTTTAACTGTCCCTCAATTTATTGATCAACGTTTCCATGTATTATCAGCCATCTTTTGAGAAGGTTGTGGCCCCATCCTTTCTTGAGCTAGGGTTGGCTAGCTTGGTCTCTGTTTACAGTGAGCTGTGTGAACTAGGAAAGCCCCCTCCCATTATTGATGCAACAGTGCTTCAAGAAAATCCCGAGGTTTGGAGTGTTCCCTTTATTAACTTAATTCTGCAGGAAGCTTTTTCCTCTCCCCCCCCCCTCTCTCTCTCTCTCTATA